GCACGTTAGCAGAGAGCTGGATTGGAAGTGAAGCAGCCAGGACACATACCCGCATGGTGCCCATATGGGATAATGGCGCCGCACACAGAGGCTTAACCTGCTAGGCTACAGGACCAGACCCCCACCTATTTTAAATGAAGTCAAATTGTATATTTAAAAAAAAAAAAGATTTACTTATTTATTTGAAAAGTCAGTTGCACAAAGAAGGAGAGACAGAGAGTCTCATCTGCCATTTCACTCCCCAATTGGCCACAATGGCCAGAACTGCAGACCTGGAGCCAGGATCTTCTTCCAGATCTCCCACACAGGTGCAGGGGCCCAGGGACTTGGGCCATCTTCTACTGCTTTCCCAGGCCATAGCAGAGAGCTGAATCAGAAGTGGAGCAGCCAGCACCATGGCTCAATAGGCTAATCCTCCACCTGTGGCGCCGGCACACCGGGTTCTAGTCCCGGTTGGGGCGCTGGATTCTGTCCCGGTTGCCCCTCTTCCAGTCCAGCTCTCTGCTGCGGCCCGGGAGTGCAGTGGAGGATGGCCCAAGTCCTTGGGCCCTGCACCCCATGGGAGACCAGGAGAAGCACCTGGCTCCTGGCTTCGGATCAGTGTGGTGTGGTGGCCATTGGAGAGTTAACCAACGGTAAAGGAAGACCTTTCTTCTCTCTCTCTCTCTGTCCACTCTGCCTGTCAAAAAAAAAAAAAAAAAAAAAAAAAAAGTGAAGCAGCCGGGTCTCGAACCGGCACCCACATGGGATGCTGGCACTACAGGCTGCGGCTTTACCTGCCACACCACTGCACTGGCCCCTCAAATTGTACATGGATCTGTACTCTGTAACTTTCTTTTCTATGTCCCAGGGCTTCAGATTTGGTTTATTCGAAGTTTACAAAGACTGTGATAGGATAAAAGGCGGCTGTACCATATTTCAGTAGGCAGAGGTTGTGGGAGAACTGTCTAGAGATGCAGGATTGATATTAATTTGGAAATTTTGTTGGCAATGAAAGATGACAAAAATTAGGGACAATTTGGTACTGAATGCAATATCAGTAAGTAACACCTTCATGTAAAGGACAGCTGGGGCCGGTGCCATGGCGTTGCGGGTGGAGCCGCTGCCTGCAGTGCCGGCTTCCCAAATGGGCACCAGTTCAAGACTCGGGTGCTCCACTTCCGATCCAGCTCTCTGCTGTGGCCTGGGAAAGCAGTAGAAGATGGCCCAAGTCCTTGGACCCCTGCACCCACGTGGGAGACCCGGAAGAAGCTCCTGGCTTCTGGCTCCTGGCTTTGGATCGGCGCAGTTCCAGCAGTTGCAGCCAAATGGGGAGTGAACCAGAGGATGGAAGACTCTGTGCCTCTCCTTCTCTCTGTGTAACTCTGGCTTTCAATTAAATAAATAAATCTTTAAAAAAAAGTGGGGATCAAGCTCATACATGGGCCTTCGGGGGACCCCTAAGTAATTACCCAATCGTATGTTACAGGACAAACTCCCAAAACTGGCTGGAGGAACTGCCCCAGAACCCCCAAAGCTGGGTTCACTCACCTGATGCAGGGGAAGGCAATTGCTGAGACCAGGGTGGTAGGAGAAAGTAGCTTATCTGCAGTGCCCAGAGCCAAGGGCGAGGCAGCTGGACGTCAACTCCTGGCCTTCTCAAGGGATTGATGGCCGTGAATTGTGTAGACTGTGTGTTGAGCAGTGAGTGAGCAGCTCCCAGCCTGTTTTAAAAAATTTTTTTAAGATTTATTTATTTATGGGGCCAGTGCTATGGTGCAGTGGGTTAATGCCCTGGCCTGAAGCGCCGGCATCCGATATGGGTGCCAGTTCGAGACCCGGCTGCTCCACTTCTGATCCAGCTCTCTGCTATGGCCTGGGAAAGCAGCGGGGGATGGCCCAAGTCCCTGGGCTCCTGCACCTGTGTGGGAGACCCAGAGGAAGCTTGTGGCTCCTGGCTTCGGATTGGCACAGCTCTGGCCATTGCAGGCAATTGGGGAGTAAACCATCAAATGGAAGACCTCTCCCTTCCTCCCCCCCCCCCCCTCTGCCTCTCTTCTCTCTGTGTAACTCTGACTTTCAAATAAAGAAAAATCTTCTTTAAAAAAAAAAAAGATTATTTCAAAGGCAGAGCAATGGAGAGGGAGGGAGAGAGAGAGAGAGAGAGAATCTTTCCAGTCTTCCCAAATGACCACAATAGCTAGGACTGGGCCAAGCCAAGTCAGAAGCCAGGAACTCCATTTGTGTCATCCACATGGATAGCAGGGACCAAAGTACTTAAGCCATCATCAGCTGCCTTCCCAGTGGCACATTGGCAGGGAGTTGGATCAGAAGCGGAGCAGCCAGGACTCGAATAAGTGCACCGATATGGGATGCCAGCATGGCGAACAATGGTTTAACCCATGTGCCAAAACACCAGTCCCTCCTGGATTGCTCAGTGAAAGGGGCCAACGTGCTTTCTTGTGGTGCCAAAGGCAGGCTTGAGTCTGTCTGGGGTGTCTGAGTAGGACTTGCAAGTTCCAAGGAAGCTCTCAAAATAGGGGTTAGCACTGAGGCGTTAACTAGAGGTATACTCAGGTCTGGGCTCCAGTCCACCCTTGTGCTTTAATGAATTCACCTTTAGCAAGGAGGTAGGTGACTGGCAATCATCAAATGCAAGACAGAGGAACCGCAAGCTGAGGGAGAGGTACCCATGAGGTCCACATCTGAGGCATTAGGGGTAGGGGCTTAGCTTCAATAACAGCATGGGTTTTAAACATTTAAAAAAATTTTTATTCATTTTTATTTCTTTGAAAGGCAGAATGACAAAGACAAAAAGAAATGAAGAGAGAGAGAGAGCTTTCATTTGTTGGTTTAATTCCCCAAATGTCCCCTCCCCCCCAGCCACTAGCTAGGGCTGGGCCAGATTAAATCCAGGAGGCAAGAATGCAATCCGAGTCTCTCATGTGAGTGGGCAGGGACCAAAGTACTTGAGCCAAACCCTGCTGCCTCCCAGGGTACCTATTACCAATAAGCTAGAATTGGGAGTGGAGCCAGGACTCAAACCTAGGTACCCAGATATGAGATGTGGGCATCTTGGGGCTGGCCAGCCTGAGGCTGAGGGCAGGGATAGCCAGGAATTCAGTCCACGTGAGTGGCAGGGACCCAGTCATGTGACCATCACCACTGCCTCCCAGGTTCTGCATTAGCAGGAAGCTGGAGTCTGAAGCTATAGCGGGGAACCAAAAACCAGAATTCCACTGTGGGATGCGGACATCCTAAGTAGTGTCTTAACTGCTGGGCCAAATGCCTGCCCTCCTCCCAGAATATTCTGAGGGAAGAATGACTCTGGGTTCACTTAAATTCCCCAGTACCGTGCCCCTGATGCCAGAGACCTGTTGTCAGCAGGAGGGTGAGCACATGGCTTCATTACTTGGACATGGACAGGCACGGTTGACGCTGTCCTTGTGCTGAAAATAGAAAGTTAAGCATGATTACATAATCTCTGGGTTCCTCCAGCTCTGAGATTCCATAGACAATCAAAGGGTTAGGGAGAGGAGGCTCGTTTGTTCTAGATTCCATAGCTGGCTCTTTATAGGCAGAGGAACAGTGCGGGTGGAGGCGGCATCCACATCATGGTCTCAGTGGCACTTTCCTAAATCCACCTTAGTCAGGGTCTTGTCCTTGGGAGAGAAATTTGGAAAACTTACTGCTCCGGGCAGTAAGGGTAGACATGCACTAAGCAAACCAAATGACTAATTTGTTTATTTCATTTGAAAGGCAGAGAGACAAGAGACAGAGAGACATACAGGCTAACAGAGAGAGCCCCATCCACTGGTTCACTCCCCACATCCCCACAACAGCCAGGGCTGGAGCAGGCCGAATCCAGGAGCCTGGAACTCAGTTCCCATCTCCCACATGGTCACCTGCTGCCTCCTTGGGTCAGCACTGTTAAGAAGCTGGAACAGGAAGTGGAGCCAGGACTTGAATCTCGGCACTTCGATATGGGATGTGGGTGTCCCTGAGTGGAGTCTTAACAGCCAGGCCAGATGCCCACTCTCAAATGCCCAACTTACAAAGAGACAGTGTGAGGGTCTCCCGGGCCCCTCGAAGACCCCAGCAACGGGGTCATGGAACATGTCCTGGCCAGCGACAGTCAGCCCAGGTCTGTGTCCCCAGGTTAGGATCCACATTTGCAGCGGTTGTCAGCTTCCAGCTGGCCTGCGTGGCCCTGGCTCCCTCGCAGTGTATTTTAGTAAATCTAACTCTGCTCACTCTCCGCTCTGGTGAATTCTCGCTGCCTGCCACACAGGCCTCAAATGGTCACTTCCCACGACAGATGGGAACAATAAAATAGCAAGGGCACCGAGCATGCTCACTCCTGCCCCTGTATGTGTGACCCTGTGGGCGCCTGGAGGGAAGCAGATGGTCTTTAGTGCCCAGTGGACCAGATGTTAGAAGCGGGTGGGCGGGGGGTAGGAACCACACTCAGCCTTAGCAGGCTCAGGGGGAATCCTGAAGTGTCTGTCGCCTACACAACAGCGACACACCTGCTCCAGGTGGGCAGGGATGCTTCTTCCTCCAGTCAGGGCTCTGTCCCTGACTGTGGGAAACGGAGCGGCACCATCCCCAGGACGCCTCGTGCCCGGGCTTTCCTGGCTGCCGGGCCTTCCTCCTGTACGCCCATCGCCTCGCCGCGCGGTCCAGTCCTGCCGCTCCCCGCCCCCGCCCCTCACCCCGCTCAGCTCGGTGTGGGTTTTGAAGTGCTCTTCCCTTTTTCCCAACCGGAGCAGGCGTGGAGAGGGCCCTGTGCCTCCCGGGGCCGTCCTGCAGGTGCGGGCCGAGTGGGCAGCAGGTTCCTTCCCACGTGGGCTTGTCCAAAGGGCTGGGTGCTGAACTGCCGGGCAGCGCCTTGCCCGAAGTCCCGGCAGCAGCGGGCTCGCGGCCACGAGTCCAGGAGGGGCGTGTCCCCGCGCTCACCTGCCATTGGCCAGGTGAGGCTGCCGGGTCGACCGCCGCGGCCGAGCTATAAGTGCCGAAGCCGAGGTTGCGGGGCCCAGGCGCGGTCAGGATGGTGGACAGCGTGTACCGGACCCGCTCTCTGGGGGTGGCGGCCGAAGGCCTCCCGGACCAGTACGCGGACGGGGAGGCGGCGCGCGTGTGGCAGCTCTACATCGGGGACACCCGCAGCCGTACCTCCGAGTACAAGACGTGGCTGCTCGGGCTGCTGCGGCAGCACGGCTGCCGGCGGGTGCTCGACGTGGCCTGCGGCACCGGGTGAGCCCGAGCGGGGTAGGGGGGCGACCAGGGGTCGGCTTGGCCCGGCCGCCAAACCACATGGCAGGCAGGAGCCAGGGCCCAGGAGCGCCGCCGCCGCCTCCGGGGGAAGAAGGGGTGCGGCGAGTGTCCGGGCGAGGGCGGAGGGAGAGCGGGGGTGAGGGTGCGCGGGCCTGGGCCTGGGCCGCAATGAGAGCGATCAGGGCGCAGAGCAGGAGCCGGACTTTGGGGCCAGCCCTGATCCTGGCTCCCACCTGGCCCCTCCAGCCCTGACCTTGGGCAGCGTTAACAATTGCTCAGCGTGCGTACATGCCAAGCGCTGCACCAGGAACTTGTGTTCCTGCTGTTTTTCAAACCCTCACAAAACCCCATGGGGGTGAGTAGTGCTAATCCGCACTCACTCCTGGGGAAGTGAGGGCTCAAAGTCAGTCAAGGCCCCACCTGGTGCGGAGGAGACACCACCCCAGGTTGGTTAGGGTCGCGCCACTGCGCTGTCCTGCTTCTGGGGCTATAACTTAACTCCAGGAACTGCAAGTTGTCCCTTTCTCAAAGGCAGCTCACACACCTGCCCCAGAGTCCCTGGGAGGATTAATGCAGTTTGCACATTGCCTGGCTCTGCAAAGGTGCTCGTTAAGAGGCGCCCCCTGGTGATCAGCTGCAGATTTGCCAGGTCATCTGAGGGCAGTGAGAAGGCAGAGGAAGCCTGGGCCTCTGGAGTTGGGACAGAGGGGCTCCACTTGCCAGGGGCCTCCTTGTCTTCCCAGGCCCCTGACTGCCCCTCTCCGACCCTGTGCAGGGTGGACTCCATCATGCTGGTGGAGGAGGGCTTCAGTGTGACGAGTGTGGATGCCAGTGACAAGATGCTGAAGTATGCGCTTAAAGAGCGCTGGAACCGGCGGCACGAGCCTGCCTTCGACAAATGGGGTATGCAGTTCCGGCTGGGCGCAGCCCAGAGACGCCGTCCTCTCTGCCCTGGGTGCCAGGGCTGGGCAGGGGGACAGCTGGTTCTCCTCAAGGGGACAGCAAAACGGTCATCTCTCTGAGGAGGAAGGCTTGGGTACCAGAATGGGGCAGTGAGTGTGAGAGCTTTAACTGGCCCTCCCCCCAAATGAACACACACACACAGCCCCCACCTCTCTTGACCCCTCCATGTCCATCAAGACCCCCTCCTAACTGGATAGGATTGCGCACGCATGCAGGTGGGTGTGCATCTTAAAGAACAAACAGGCAGGACTGCACTTGGTGGAGGGGTGCTAGTCATGCCACGAGGTTACCCTGCTTCCTCTTCTCCCGCCTGGCCCCATAGTCATAGAAGAAGCCAACTGGATGACTCTGGATAAAGACGTACCCCAGCCAGCAGGGGGTGGCTTTGATGCGGTCATCTGCCTTGGAAACAGTTTTGCCCACCTGCCAGACTGCAAAGGTGAGAGGTGTGGTCTCGGGCAGGCAGAGCCTTGCCTTGAACCCCACCCCTTTCCACAGACCCCTGGGAGCCTGCCCTCCTGCCAAAGCACACTCTGCTCTCTGCCCTCCTGTGCCGCAGTGCTGGAGCCCCTGGGGAGGAGACGGATGGGGGGAGGCTGGCGCTAGGGGCCCTGAGCTGACCGAGCCTCTGCCTGGAGCTCAGGGGACCAGAGCGAGCACCGGCAGGCGCTGAAGAACATTGCAAGCATGGTGCGCACCGGGGGCCTGCTGGTCATCGACCACCGCAACTACGACCACATCCTCAGCACGGGCTGTGCGCCCCCCGGGAAGAACATCTACTACAAGGTGAGCCCCCCAGGAGGGAGGGGCCGCAGTGCACGGTGTGAGCCTGGGCTCCAGGGCCCCACGGTGGGTGACAGAGGCTCACACAGCCTGTACCACTGCCCAGAGTGACCTGACCAAGGACGTCACGACGTCAGTGCTGACAGTGAACAACAAAGCCCACATGGTGACCCTGGACTACACGGTGCAGGTGCCGGCGGCTGGCCAGGACGGCCCTCCGAGCTTGAGGTAACACTGGGCTTGGCGGAGGTGAGGTGGCCATGAGGGGAGCCGGGGCCAGCAGGCCTCACGGCTGGCTGGGGCTCTGTTGCAGTAAGTTCCGGCTCTCCTACTACCCACACTGTCTGGCACCCTTCACGGAGTTGCTGCGAGCAGCCTTCGAGGGCAAGTGCCAGCACAGCGTCCTGGGCGACTTCAAGCCTTACCAGCCGGGCCAGGCCTACGTTCCCTGCTACTTCATCCACGTGCTCAAGAGGACAGCCTGAGTGCGGCCGCAGCTCCCACAGCCTCCTGCCCGACCTGGGGAGGGGGGCCCGGCAGCCCCACGCCCAGCCCCTCTGTCCCTGCAGGTGCTGGGGGTGTGGGTTCAGGCCAAAGGTAGAGTAAGCAATACAGCCTGTGCCTTGTCGGATCCTGCAGGCTTTGTGTTTCTATGTTGCTCTTCTCCACACCAAACAGTCCTGCCACAACACCAGCAGGGGGCGGCATACACTTTATTTTCAGCCACTGTGAGGGCCCAATCCCCAGCTCTCCTGAGCAGCTGGCCTGGGGCAGGAGATGCCTGGTGAGCTCTTCCTGGGGCTGCCAACACCGCTCCCTACCCAGGGCATCTCCCCGAGGGAGGTGGTCTTCAGGTGCATCGTGGGCAGCAGCCTGAGCAAGGGCCCTTTCCTCTCAGGTCTCTCTGTGGGGCCACCTGGGTACCTTTAGCCATTCTGGACAGAGTCCCGGTCTGCAGGGGGCTCCTAGCAGGCAGCAAACTTGCGCTGGATGCGTTTGTACCGCAGCAGCTCCTGCTCGCTGACCGAGGGCTGCAGCTGGGCGGCGGCCTGCAGCAGGTCCTCCATGGTGAGCAGCAGTGCCGAGCTGGCCGGCTCCAGCCCTGGGGGGAAAGGGGGGTGGCAGGGGGAGACCAGCGGCCCCATCTCCGCTGAAGGCAGAGGCTGTGACCCAGGGGAGGGCCCTTCCTGCTCAGAGTGCCCGGATGGCCCTCTTCTGAAATGCAGCCCCAGGCCTGGCTCGCACTAGTGTTTTTGGTTGATTTCTGGGGCTGGCAATGGGCTCACCTTCCTCCAGGTCACGAACCCTGCGTTTGAGGGCAGCTGTCATGGCGTCCGAGCAGAGAGAGTACAGGTCTGCGCCTGTTAGCTGGGGCGGGCAGCAGTCCAGCACCTTCACCAGGCTCACCGAGGGCTCAAGCTTGAATCTTGTGGGGGTGGGGAACAGTTACAGCAGTCCTCACATCCTCCCTCTGAAGCCATCACTGCCCAACACACCCCGTGGCCACCCCAAGGCCCAGGCCCTCGGGGAGTGTCTCTGGAACAGGGCATACTTGCGTGTGATGGCGCTCAGAACACGCAGCTGGGAGGCCCGGTCCTCACTTGCACCCACAAACACCAGCTTGTCAAATCTTAGGGAGATGGGGGTGTCTGTGAGAGGAAGCCCAGCCAGGAAGGGGGGGAGGAGACGCAGAGCAGGGGTGAGGGATGAGCCCAGATGGGCCTGGTGGGGGGTGAGCAGGCTGGGGTGCCCACCTGCCAGGTCGCAGAAGGGCAGGGTCCAGGAGGTCTGGTCTGTTGGTGGCTCCAATCACAAACACATCCTGAGTGCTGTGAAGCCCGTCCAGCTCGGCCAGGAGCTGTGACACCACCCTGGAGGGGGGGAAGCGGAGCTGGGAGGGCCCTGGGGACCTGCCCCGCCTGTGCTGCCTCTCCCTGCAGGCTGCTCCTCACCGGGGCCTTGCAACCAGCTCTGCCTGTGCCCTCCACACAGGTCCCTGGGCTCCCTGGCACCACTGAACTGGAAGGGCAGGAAATTCTCTCTTTGGCTCCCACCCAGGACCCCAGACTCCACTCTCACTCAGACCCCCACCTGTCCATCACTCCTCCAGAGTCTCCACTTCGCCCCCGGCTTGGGGCCAGGGAGTCCAGCTCATCAAAGAAGATAATGCATGGCGCCGCAGCCCTGGCCCTGGCGAACACTGAGGGGAGAGAGGGGCAGGCAGCGAGGGGGGCTCGGGGGTCTGAGGCTGGGAGAAGACAGGGAGGCCGCACTCCAGGCAGGGACTGCCTCGTGCAAGGGAGGACGAGGCGTGACCACCAGCAGCCTGGGGGAGGGGCTGAAGCCCAGGGCCTCCCCTCTCACCTTCCCGCACGTTCTCCTCACTCTGGCCCACGTACATGTTGATGAGCTCTGGCCCCTTCACACTGAGGGAGGTCATGGGAGGGAGAGACCCATCAGATGCGTGTGCACACACACAGTCACCCCCCTCTCGGGCTGCCCCCCATCCCTCGCCCACCTGAGGAAGGTGAGGCTGCACTCCGTGGCTACCGCCTTGGCCAGGAGGGTCTTGCCTGTCCCAGGGGGCCCGTGGAGCAGAAGGCCTGAGCGCCTCAGGCCCAGGCTCAGCAGCTCAGGGTGCTCCAGGGGGAGCTGAATGGTCTCCAGGATCTCCCTCTTCACCTCCTGCAGCCCGCCTACGTCATGCCAGGACACCGAGGGGATCTGGAAGATGGGGGGTGGGCGTCTGGCATATGCTGGTGGAGGCAGCTCCTGCCCAGCCTCCACTGGCCAGAGTCTGCACCTTGGGGGCTCCCACGGCCCGGGAGTGAGCCGTCTGCAGCTGCTCCAGCGCCTGCCCGAAGTCCTCAGCCAGAAGGGGAAAGCCGGCCGCACACAGCTCCCCCTCATCCTCCTCGCTCCAGCCGCCCGGCAAACTGCGGGAGGAGCAGAGTCCCCAGGAGGACCTGGCACAAGGCCTCCTTCCCGGCCCCTCCCCATCTCCTCTTGCCACCTGTCCCCTCCTGTGCTGAACTCCCCTTACCCTGAGTTCCTGATCCTGGTGCAGGCTGCCCGGCTGCTGTGGGCCACAAGGGCACAGAGATCCCCGGCCACGAAGCCCTAGCAAAGCGCAGGGGGACACATGAACAGGGCGTGGCAGGCGGGAACCATGGGGGACTGGTGCCCGGCAGAGCGGACTTGGGGGTTCCTCCCCTCACTGGCAGGCAGCAGCCAGCACTGAGCTCCTGTGGCCTCCCGGGGAGGCGCAGTGCCCTGCCTTCATACTCACTGCACACCGCCGTGCCAGCTGTGCCAGGTTCACCTCTTGGCCCAGGGGGAGGTGGGCAGTGAGGGCCCGCAGGATGCTGAGCCGCTGCCCCTCTGACAGCACGGGCACCTCCAGCTCGTGTGGAAATGCTGTCTGTATGTCAGCAGGCAGGTCCTGGGCCCGGCTTGTGGTGGCCACAACCATGAGGGGAGGGCGGCTGCAGGAGGAGGGGTGGGCACTGAGGGCGGGAACGTGGCTGGAGCTCCTAGGCCCTGCCCTGTGCTGAGGTGGCTGCAGGGCAGGGACAGTGGTGGGGCCGGGATGGGGCAGAGATCAGCCCCACCCTAAAGTTCCCGGCTGGGCCAAGGGAATACCTCGGGGGATGGGAGCTGTTCTTCCCAGGAGGTCCCGGGACCACATCCTCCTCCCTCCAGACACCCCAGGACCCTCAGCTCAGGGCTGCCAGTGGCAACCCAGGGAGCAGCGGATGGCTGAGAAGCCACAGGGGCTGTGAGGAAGCACTGAATGGCTCCAGGGGGAGCCCAGGCCTCGCGGGACGCCAGGCCCAGCCCTTCATGAATACCTGCTGAGGGGGTCCTCATTGAGGAGGAGGTGATGCAGCACGGCCACCACCCGGGCATCCTCGCCCAGCCCATCACGGTCGCGGCCTAGCAGGTCCAGGGCCGTCAGCAGCAGGACCACAGGCCGGCAGCGGCGGGCCCGGGAGAAGGTGGCCTGCAGTTTTGTCTCCACAGCCCCACTGCTGTCTGCACAAAGGCTGGAGCAGGGCACCTGGTACAGAGGCAGGCAGAGTGGGGAGGAGCAGTCAGAAGCAGGCATGGGCCCCCTTGCTCCTGAGGGCAGGGCTGGGTACAGGGGGCACACTGGCCAGCTCCCACCTCTTAGCCACCCTACCCCAGGCCCTGGACTGTCCACCCTCCTCCTTCTAGAAAGCACCCACAGTGGCCGAGCATCATGGGAATACGCTGACCTGCGGCCCACTGGACCGAGGTACTGGGGAGGAAGAGGGAGAATCTGGGGAGGCCAAGGGGGCTCTGCTGTCCAGAGAGCCTCACCTTCAGTAAGTGGAGCCCAAGGCGACCACAGGCCGCCGTGACCGCTGTGGTCTTCCCACTGCCTGGGGGGCCCCGCAGGAGGACACAGCTAGTTCCTGTCAGCAAGGCCCCTCTGAAACCAGAGAACAGTCACTTGTACCCTCAATTCTGCCCATATTTAAAGTCCCCACTCACACAGGAACCGTGGGATCTCAAAAGCAGACCCGGGTTTCTCTCTCCTGGGCCTCCCTGCCCACAACCCAGTGTTGTCTCCACAGTGAGGCTGCACCTCCCGCACTTCCCACACCGCCTGTGGTATCTGGTGGGGCCTGGAACACATCCCACATTTCCACCATCACTGTGTCCGCGGCAAGGCCTGCACTGTCACATCCGGTCTGCACTGTATGGAGAGGCACAAGGGTGGGCACTGGCTCTGCACTTGGGCAGCTATGCCCTTCAGGGCCAGTGGGCTCTGCATGGGAAGGGGAGCCCCAGAGAAGCAGCCTCTGGGGCTGGTTCTTCGTCCACAGCCGACTTCGGAGGATGGAGGTTATCTCAGGAGAGAGCCTAGGAACTCGCTTATGGAGGATGGGACCAGGCACACAGGCCTGGGGAAGGTCCTCCCACTCCCACTCCAGCCACAGCAGTAGGAACCGGGCAGCCTGGCAGGTTCTAAAGCAGGCTCTCCTCACCCCAGGACAGCAGCCTCACTCACCCCAGCTGGAGGCGAGGCTTCAGGGCAGCACAGATCTCAGCCACCAAGCCCTCCAGGCCCGGAGGAGACAAGGAACTCCACGGAGCGCCTGCTGAAGGGAGACTGGGAACGCAGCTCAGGGTGGAACCCACCTGGGAAAGGCAGGAAGCAGCTTGTGTTCCTAAATCTTGCTTCCAGCCCCCACCTCCCTCCCTGCCAGGTCTACGCACGACCCTGGGGCCTCACCATGTACAAGGAAGTGTGGGTGGTGTCAGCCAAGTAGGTGCTGGCTGGCCCATCTGCAACCTCCCCGATCGTTCTCTTCACTTTAAAGAACAGCTCTCGCCACCTGCGGGAGAGAGGCCCGATGAACCCCAGACCGCAGGCTTGCAGGCTGCCCACCCCAGGACAAGGTGGCTTTGTGCATGACAAGGGGTGCAGGGAGATAGGAAAGATTTTTCCTTTCTCCCCCACACTGCACCCCACAAATGCGAAGGGCAGGAGCTATCCCTGTCCCTTTGCTCCCCAACGACAATCCTCAGAGGGCCTAGGGGCTGTGTTTCTGCAGGTACTCGGGCTGCCGCAGCCAGCAAGGGATTATCTCATCATTTCCGGTGGCTT